GACTGCGGGGAACTGCGGAGGAAGATTTTATCATGTGACTCACTTTTCTGCTTCAGCAGATCCGCTTGCCGTAACACATACACTAGTCTTCTAAGCTCTTACTCTAATTAGGAGTAAATATCATTCTTTTGAATTGTTCTTACTGATAATTTTGTGGTATTTTCTATGTATGCATTCAAATCTAAATGATCAATTACTTGATAGAGCATTAAGAGTATTATCAGAGCGACCTTACTGTACTAGTACTTTTATTTTTCCAACTGTGCAGGACACTCTCTGTTCTATTAGTGATTGTCGCTCAAATGATTTATGAAAAGATGTTTACTGTCGAAACTTTGATCACACGCAGGATAAAAACATTCCAATATCACTTCCTCTTCCTCCTCTTCGGAAATTTCCCGTAATCCTGGGTCCTGTAACCAGTCCATTGAATATTATAATACAATCTAGGGTAAAAGTAAAAAGGAAATAACAACAACGTACCTGCCATACAAGCTTATTTACTTTAAGAGTAAAGCCTGGCAAATATTCCCCTCCATCCAGATTGCTCCAGGTACGCTTTTTAGAGCGACGAGCATTACCTTCGGCATCTCGCCTGTAAATCCAAATATGTTTATACTTGGGGTCGATCAGCCAACCAAGCTGAACAGACGTTTCCGATGCAAAATAAACGTTCTTGAACTTGGTATTTGCTTTATCGAACTTCGATCTATTATAGACAACACTAATTGTGGAAAAAAAATACTAAATTTTGAATAACATTTTTTCACGTGTTTTGAATTACTTACCCATGAATATTTTCAAAGTCATCGACCTCCACAACAACAGTAGGACTGTAGGCTTCGCCTTGAAAAGAGTCAAGTTGGCTATCATCTAGCCTGTGACAAGTATCTCTCGCTGTATAAGCGACGTCCGGTGCTACAATTCCATTACCGCCTTCAAGTTTAAACCCTCCTTGTGAAGAAGTCACTGCTCCCTTCTGCCGAGTCTCCACGTTCCAGTTTCTGATTTGTGCCACGATCTCAGCTACAGCATATTCTTTGCGAAACACGGTTGGTGGAATTGGAACAAGTTTTCCAGATTTGTTCAGCTCAAAGTGACGGATAGGTTTGCCGTCAATTATTAAAGAACGATACTTAAGCTGGTCGCTGATAATTTCAAATTCTTGGGGAGTGTAAGCGCGGTTCAGATCCAAATTGTCCAGATCCAAATACTTGTGGTCCTTGGAGTTTGACAAAGTAGCAAGTGAAAAAATTTTTTTAATTTATAATTATTTTCTGATGCAATATATGTGGAAATTGGCGCAGAAGTCACGAGTATATCACCTAACTACGCCACTGAAACGGCTATCGAAAAAGACGGAAATATGCTCCATTCGAATCTTGAAGTTATATTTCCTACCGACTTTGAAGTCATTAGTCATACAAAAATTGTGGCCAAAACTAAGGAAATTGGACCACATAATATAACGAAATCTTTTCTCATCCTCATTATCTACATTATTTGGGTTGTCTCGATTACTCTGATTAATATTCTCACTCTTACTAGAGCATCGTTCCCTTTGGTCAGCAAAAGATTCAGCATTGATGAAATTGGTGATAAAGTACATCTTTCTGCCTGTCTTTGAGATGATTTATTTACATTGTGTACTTGATTGAATCGTGTTTCTAGTATTTTTAATGCATGGAACAAAGTCTGGAGTCGATGACCGATATAGTGCGATGAAAATAGTTAAATGTATTTTAAGTTAAACGTCCAAGGTTGAGTCGTAGTATATAAAGAAACTCCCAAAAACGAGAACGAACTCCTCAAAGTATTACGCTCCAGTCCTGGTTCTACATCCCGCTCGATCTCCCGCCATATATTGACACATCATCTAGTGAGAATTCGATCATGAAAATTGTTGGACTATGACACACTACCTAAATCTGTCAAATAGACTGCCTCCGGTGAGAATACTTACGGCTTACAAGATTTTGAAATTTACCCTTGCATTGATATCCCGTATAGTTGGTATAAATCTCTGATTAATTATATTCGCAATATTATTCCAAAAATCCACCTTACTGCCAGAGACTCGATGTTTTTGTTTCTATTAGTAAGCGCAATTGACAAAAAAAATATTCACTGCGATAACAATACTCAATTTAAATGCGCTTATTTCTTGCCGGAGGCGGTCTATGACTATACAATATATACGAAAAAAGTTTATCGTGTCTACATCTCGGATTTGATCTCAGACAATCGTACATCCATATCGCCGGGAAAAAACCATATTAATATGCTTGTAATACACCCGAAATAGATCCCACGCACACCGCACCCGAAACGGATTCCACATATCAAAAATAGATCATATATACACGAACGATTATATACAAATATCGCCACAAATAAATTCTTTAGAATCAACTCTAAATTACAATTCTCGCTACAACCCAATATGCATCTCCCATTCTCACATCACTTGCAAAATATGACGATTATACACAACTCATCTAATAACCCAGGCCCTATGGGGCGCTCTTCGAGTATCCGCACTAAAAATGAATCATACATTCTTATACTATAGAGAACCAAATCTAATGATTCACATTTACAGTCAATACAACAACAAACAGGTCAACCTTACAAACATAGACATTGTTAAACTTCAATCGTCAGCTTTGCAAAAGTTACCTCATATTACCCCTTATACATCAATAACTGATTTGCCAGAAGACCAATACAAAGCTGTTACTGCATTAACAAACATGATGGGCTCTCGTAATAATCAGTGGCCATATGTTCCGCGATCACCTTCGTCGTAGGAAAATTAAACATCTTGTATTGGCTCCGACTGGCGTCGCTGCTCAGAACATTGATGGATTAACTATACATTCTGCATTAAAAATATCGTCTGCCAATAGTCACCAATCTTCTTATCAGACTCTTTTATTCAACGATATTACCCTACAAAATGACATGAGAAATGTCGATACGCTTATTATAGATGAAGTGTCTATGGTTTCTGCCAGCCTATTTACTTTTCTTTCTGACACACCTTTTGCTAAATTGCATAATAGCCACAAGCCTTTTGGTGGCGTCAATGTAGTAGTCGCAGGTGATCTATTCTAGTTACCTCCAGTACACGGAACAGCAGTTTTTAATTCACCAATTTGGCAACTGTTCTATCCACTCTTTACGTAAATCTCAACGTCAGCATGAGGATGATTGATTTTTCAATCTATTGGAAGAGGTACGCCTAGGTAGAATATCCGATGCGTCTTGGGAAATGCTACAGTCAAAACATTCACAATACAACAACAACACGGATTTATCCATTGACTCTTTTAATTCGACCTTTATTGTCGGCTATAAGCAGTCAGCAGAACAAATTAATGTATCTCTCTGTAACCTATTGGAAATTACATGCGAAAACGATATATTAATAAGCACCGCTATCGACAAAGTTAATGATGAAGACTGGGACAGTGAATATTCTCAGCGTATGTTTAAACAACATACTAATCTTCCAGTCCGTGTTAGGCTCCAACCCGGTGCACGTGTAATGTATCTGATGAATGACATGATATCTAAAGGAATATGTAACGGCACCATAGGCGTTGTTACGCAAATCGAGTCACAAACTCAGCATATTCATGTGACATTCCTCGGTACCGGACGTCTCATTCATGCATTAATCTCACCTAAAACTTCGTATTTTCGCATTAATGGCATGAACGCATCCCGTCGACAATATCCTCTGCAAAACTGCTTTGCGTTGACTGTACATAAATCCCAAGGGTTAACATTACCACACGTATCTTTATTTTTGGATAAACAATTCTTTGAAGCTGGTCAAGCATACACAGCATTAAGCCGTGCGCCATCCTGGGATGTTGTACAACTTCCTTGCTTGGATAGGGAGGCCTTTTTAGTTAATACTGACGTCCTCTGTGAATACGAACGCTTAGAAAGAAAAGTTACATCACATCCACTTTTCTCACATTAATTATAATTATATCTGCTGGCACCCATGGTCTCTTCCTTCCCCAACATACCCTTTGTTTTCTCTTTTCGCATAATGTCTACTTTTATTCTCTATACTAATACCTTAATTACTACTGTAACATTTGAATTTTATTTTTTTTTTTCGCTCTTATACTATGTTATTTTCCTATACATACAAATAAAAAGTCGTATAATGTCAAGAATAAATTGAAATATAGTTATTATTATTAATCCATAATTTTATTATGATATATGCTTAATATTACACGTTTTGTTGTCCATTTTTAATTTCCACATGCGAATTGTATTCTCTTCACCCCAACTACTCCATTTAATTATTATGAATAATCGGAATAATTCAATTTTTTTATTTCTCTACTCAACATTGCTCATCTCATTGGTATTCGCAGATAAACAAACAAACATCCACTCCACATGTCAATTGTATTCTCTTCGCCCCAACTACTCCATTTAATTATTACGAATAACGGAATAATTCAATTTTTTTATTCCTGTACTCAAACATTGCTCATCTCATTGGTATTTGTAGATAAACAAACAAACGTCCACTCCACATATCAATTATTTACGCCTGACTATTCCACAAATT